AGTGCTTACTAGCTGCAAGTTTGCATTTTTCATCTTTTACTGATTATCAGTGTGAATTCTTGCTGATGCGTAGTGCTTAAGCACTTCTGGAAAAAAAAATGGGTAATTTCTTCCAAAATATTGCTTCCTAGGAGAGGAACAGGCACTTCTTTTTTTCAGTCACATTTTAAATTACTGCCTCCTAGGTGAAAGTCTGAACTCCTCACAACCTCAGAGTGAGCATAGTGAATGTGCAGGGCATTTTTCTAGACTTCCAGTTACAAATTGTCATGCAAATAATCAAATTTCTTTTGAACTAGCAGCTTAGTGTGCTGGTATGTTTAAAGATAATCATCTTGGTATAAAAATTGCTCATCCTTACCATGTTTTTTTTATTCTATTAGTTAAAACACAGAATAGATAGTATTTTGTAATTTGGTTGGATTTTTTTATGGTAGGTCACCCATAGAAAGTGTATGATTAAGCTCTGGAAGAATTTTTTTCCAGACAGAAAAAAGGGGAATTGGATTAAAACAATTTTATTTTATTGAATATGTTGAGTACTCCTGCAAAGCAACTACATTGTTGTTACATGTAAGTATGAACAGTAATATCCAGCTTCCATTTGCTATGTTTGAAGGTGATGAACCTCTTATGTCCTATAGAATTTTCCCAAAGCTATTCCACAGGAGGCTGCCAACTGCTGCAGTGATATCTGCTGCTTATTTGAGTCAGGCTCTGTCTAAAACTGGGCTTCCAAGAACTTGTCATCTAGCAGTACTTATTTTTGACAATGTCTGGTTGATCTCATAAGCTTCACGTGGCTTCTGAGGACAAAGAGTTTAGACTAAAAGCCTCTGTAATTTAGGTTCTACTTTGTACCAGTGAGGATATCTATTCTATCAATGGTTATTTCACAACTAGTTTGACAGTCTTCAGTAAAGTAATGGATTTTGGAGGGGGCAGTTAGCAAATCATAGAATATGGCAGAAAGAGTGGAGGACAAATAGCTGTCAGAACATCTCACAGAAGAGGAGATGGGGGTCAGGAATTATTCAACAAACTGTATCAGTATTGTAAGCTGTTTTCCTGAGATATGTATCTATGGCATTTGATTCACTTACTTTTGTAGTGTTTTGGATTACCTTTTCTGTCTGTGCTCAATTCTTTTATTCATTATAGAAAAAGTAAACTAATGTAAGTGTATTTTGTGATCTGTTTTCTTTTTCCTCAAATGACTTTGCCCTCTCATTCTCTGACACTTGATGTGACACAGCATCGACCATGAATTAATGGTAACAGCCCCAGCAATTCCAACAGGTTGGGAACTGGTGCAGGTGTAAAAGTAAATTACTCATTTCCTACCTCATAACTTCAGTTTAAGCTTGACTTTCATTACCAGCTAAAAGTCTCCTCTCAGAAAAATGTCAAAAGTTTTACCCAAGTTATTTTAATTGCTGTTCTCCCTGCAGAGTCCCAGCAATGGAGCAGAGGTAGAAGGGTGTTTGGGAGTGTCTGTAGGGAGGAAGAGCTTTTGCTGTACTGGACATGAACCAGTGCTTTTAATTCCTCACCTGTGCGAGTTCCACATTTGCTTGCTGGCTCGGGAAGTTGCCTGTAGCAATGAATGATGCCAACATTTGATAAAAGGAGTGTCTACTTTGGAAAACATTTTGTTAAACTCTGTTGAGTAAACTGATAAAGCTGCGATGCCGGGTTAGTCCAGGCTCCCCAGCTACTGAGTGTGATGGTGTAGGGGCAGATGGGAAGGGTGAGAGAGCAGAGTAGCAGGAGCACCATCTGTCTGGAGGATACAGTATGCTTTTCCTTTCCCCTCAGGCATAACTGGGTCTAGCAGCTCACCAGGGCTCCAGTAAGCAATTTGTATAAAGTGGGAATCTGAAGATACGCAGCCAAGTATTTCAGAACATTTTTTTCAATTTTTCAATTAGGAAGCTACAATGGAATATCCTTAATGGGAGGTTGGGGGTGTTTAAACCCTTGCTATCTTAACGTTGGAATTGTACATGTTATCTTTTGGTTTCCTTTTAGATTGTTTCTGGTACCTTTAACAAGGTATGTAAACTACAGGCAGATGCCTTCAAATTGAAGGTTGGCCAAACAGGGTCAGAGGTGCTGCTGAGTGGAGAGAGGTGACAGCTACGAGTACCAGAGGAAGCCCCGGTTCTTCCTGCCGTGCTGTGGGATGTTCACTGCCTGCGTGGAGCAGACAGATATCCTCACTTAATTGGGTCTCTGCTGAAGGGCTCTCACAAGATGTCTTATGCTCCATTTATCTCCTTCTGAAGTCAGCCCTGAAAAATAGGAATTTATATTTCTAGTAGTTGATGTTTTGCATAATGCAGCAGGATGTGAGCAGATACGGCCTGGAATTCGAGTAGGCACTGCAGAGCATGACTCCAATATAAAATATACAACTTGTAGTACAAAAAAAAAACACAAAAAGGCCCCAGGATCTGCATTTTTCAGGGTAACAGACTCTTAGCTGTTGTGCGACAGCTACAGCTCCACACTGTGTGGTTGAATATGAGCCGTAGAAAGGGCTATGGCATGGTGGGTTCATTCCCTGCAGTGACTGCTGGCCCTCGGCAAAATGTAACTCCTGCTTTCTCCAGCAGGCATCCTTTCCATCCCGCTGCCCCTCACTGGATACACTGTGCTGCTTTTGTGGTAAAGAAACCAACAGCACATTTATTTGCCCACCTTCAGCCTCCTTCACGTCTCTCACTGGTGAACAAGATGTGGTGTGGTTGGCCCACACCAGCCCATCCATGCTGCAGGGCACGTTTGGGCCTCTAATGACAGTAGCTCAAGCCTTCCTCTTTTTTTCTTTCCTTTTATTTTTCTTCCTTTTTTCTTTTTATTTTTCTTTCTTTTCTGCCTTCTGTGGAGTTTATCCAACTGAATGTGTAGCTGAATGTGAATTTAGAAGTAGACTCTGGGCAAGTTTGGGCCTTAATCCACACAAAAAAGGGACTAAAGGGGTAGGAGAGAAACACAAAGCTCCACTGTTGCAGGCTTTAAGGAGATAAAGAGATTGAGAAAATCCCCTAAGACATTCAATCAGGATCTCAAATGTCAGAAAGCAGACAGCAGCACCTATACATTGCACAGAAAATAAATCCTTCACCAGTTATCAGTACTTAAAACACAAGTACAGGGTTGTGTACTGCCAGGCTGAAAATATGCTAAGTTTAAATCCAAACACTGATTCTCCCTTGTCCCAGATGATTATGGCCTTTCCATCTGAAGTATATACTAACTCTACAGTATAATGACAGACAAGGAGTAAGCTGAGGTACTCAACAACCTTTTTGCTTCAGTCTTCACTGGCAACCTCTCTTTCCACAGCAGTGGCTCACATTGAGCCGTTGACCACTACCCTCTGGCTTTCAAGGACTGCTGGGTGGATGAGGAATTGGTTGGATGGTCACATCCAGAAGGTAGTGATCAATGGCTTAATGTGCAGATGGAGATCGGTGACAAGGGTGTCCCCTCAGGGATCCATATTGAGACCAGTACTGTTTAATATCTTCATCAGTGCCATAGACAGTGGGACCAACTGCATCTTCAGCAAGTTTGTAGATGACCCAGAAGTGGGCCCGTGTGAACCTCACGAAGTTCAACAAGGTGAAGGGCAGGATCCTGTGCCTGGGTCCAGGCAACCCTGAGTATCAGTACAGGCTGGGCAACAAAGGGATTGAGAGCAGCCCAGCCAAGAAGGACTTGGGGGTACTGGTGGATGAAAAGCTGGCCATGAGCCAATAATGTGCACTTGCAGCCCAGAAAGCCAACCATATCCTGGGCTGTATCAAAAGAAGTGTGGCCAGCAGGTCAAGGGACATGATTCTGACCCTTTACTGCACGCTGGGGAGACCCCACCTGGAGTACTGTGTCCAGCTCTGGGGCCATCAGCACAACAAAGACACAGACCTGTTGGAGCGGGTCCAGAGGAGGGCCATAAAAATGCACAGAGAAGAAAGGGCTGAGACAGTTGACGATGTTCAGCCTGGAGAAGAGAAGGCTCAGTGGAGACCTTATTAACTACAAACTTTTTAGCAGACCCTCTTGTGATAGGACAAGGGGTAATGGTTTTAAACTAAAAGAGGGTAGATTTCAACTAGATATAAGGAAGATGTCTTTTACAATAAGGTTGGTGAAACACTGGAACAGGTTGCCCAGAGAGGTGGTAGATGTCCCATCCCTGGAAGCATTCAAGGTCAGCTTGGAAGGAGTCTCTGAGCAACCTGATCTAGTTGAAGATGTCCCTGCTCATTGTAGAGTCCCTTCCAACCCAAACTATTCTATGATAACTACACTGGTGCTGTTACAGCACCAGAGAAAATCACCTGCTGCATGGTTTTATGTTGTTAGGAGAATTATGGTCAAATGTTATGAAGTGTCTAGCCTAGCGTGTTACTCTGCGTTAAACAGGACCAGTGGTAAAGGCAATCAGCTTCTTTTCCCTGAGTTTATTATGTGCCATAGCTCCTTGCAGAAACTGCTAGAGCTCTTGTCATCGGTCCCATATTATGAAAGCCTTCTAGATTGCTTGTCATCGGTCCCATATTATGAAAGTCTTCTAGATTGCTTGCAGTTAGACATGTAAAACGAATTTATCATTCCACTGGGCATTATGTGATTACCTATAAACTTGCTTACTGATACCAGAGGTAAATCTGAACCTAAGTAGAAACAATAAACTGATATGTTATATACAGTCATTTAAACAGCTGTGTAAATTCCCATTGTAGATTATATTTCTTTCCATGCACTTTGTATAATAGTAGGAGAACTTTAATGGAACTTGACTGCTTTTGAAAAAACTTGCAATTTTGTGAGACTCCACCCTCAAAAAATACTAACTTCTAGTTTGTGTCAGCAGCACATTTTATTTTTGTATGTTGATTGCTACCAGTAAGGCTAAAGAGGTATCATAAGTTTCTGAGATGGAATGACTGTTATTTTTTATTTGAATAACTCTCCATTTCTTTTCACAGAGAGAAATTCTAGAACAGCAACAGCGAGAGAGATACGACACAAGTTTTCGTAGTATGTGTATGTTCTGTGATCAAGAATTTACAGGAAACAGGTTTGTTTATTTACTTCTTTGCTTTTGGTTTATCTTTTTTTTGTAGATTATATTTCTTTCCATGCACTTTGTATAATAGTAGGAGAACTTTAATGGAACTTGACTGCTTTTGAAAAAACTTGCAATTTTGTGAGACTCCACCCTCAAAAAATACTAACTTCTAGTTTGTGTCAGCAGCACATTTTATTTTTGTATGTTGATTGCTACCAGTAAGGCTAAAGAGGTATCATAAGTTTCTGAGATGGAATGACTGTTATTTTTTATTTGAATAACTCTCCATTTCTTTTCACAGAGAGAAATTCTAGAACAGCAACAGCGAGAGAGATACGACACAAGTTTTCGTAGTATGTGTATGTTCTGTGATCAAGAATTCACAGGAAACAGGTTTGTTTACTTCTTTGCTTTTGGTTTATCTTTTTTCATATCTACTCAGCATCTTTGTGGTTTAATGTCATCAAACCAGTTAGTGCCTAATGGCAGGACTCAGAAGATAGAATTCATTTAAAGGTAAAGTTTAATTATTTCTTTCAACTGAAATGCCTTTTTAAATAGACCCCCTCTCACTTCTCAATTTTTTATACTACACAGTAAGCTGGAGTTAAGAACTGAACCATTTTGAAGAAAAACAGGGTTTTGGCAGTTGTTTTAGTGTCAAGGAGAGCTGTTCAAGCCAATATAAGCTATTAAAAAAATATTTCTATCCAGTTACACATTCTCCTGTTTAAGTCTCACCAAACCAGTGTCAATTTAAAGACTAAATGAAAAAGAGAGGAGGAAAATTAGAGTGAGAATGGAATGCTTTACAGCATCAGTCAAGTGCATGCGGGAAGTACATTCACATGCTTGCTCCGATGAAAGTTTGGTTTTACACAGCACATCTGTTTCAGCTGAAGAGACTGAGCCTTATCCCCGAGTCTCTTTTTGCTTGGGTAGTTCTAGTACTCTGGAAAGGTAGAAGAACCTGCGGTCATGTCCCTGCAGGTAATCCCAATCTTTTCTGTGCGTCCTGTTCTCTTTACTGTCTGGTGTAGTGAAGTACAAATCATTCAGCACCCAAGACCTTCATCCTCTGCTTACTCTTGGGTCTCACAAAATACGGGCTTTGAAAATCATGCCTGGAATGTGGTAAAGGCAAGGCTCAACAAGGTTGACACTTGGGCGATTCCTTAGTCCCTAAACACAGAAGTTGAGGCATATAGAGATGTTAGGCACCCAAGGAATTAACTGGTATACCTCTATTAGAAAAATTAATTAGGAATTAACTGGTATACCTCTATTAGAAAAATAACTTACTTATAAATCCATTTCGTTTCTTCATGCATATTTCTGAGTGCTGTTCATGTTGCTAGTGCTTTGCAAAGCAATATTGCTGTAAAAGCGTATCAGACCCAAGAATTTCTGCTTTGTTAACCAGCATAGAGTAACCTGACAAATGGCTTTTTAGAATGTTTCTCAAGACGGTTGTTTGAAACATATGATTTGCTTATTCACATTAATAAATGAGCCTTGCTAACAGTGAGGGTCAAAATAAACTATATTGTAATTTTCGTTTAAAGGGTTATATTTCATGCATGCAGATTAAGCAGTTGAAATGTTACTGAACGTTCAGCAGAGCTGAAATTGAAAACTTCCTATTTTAATAAAGTTGCATTCTTTTTTTTAGCAGTGGCAGCAACACTATTATTGTTTATTTAATGTTGGCTTTATGCATTTTCAGAGGGATTGGTGTATCTTGAGTCACTAATTTGATAGTTCTCATATGTATTTTTAAAAATATGTAATGTCCTTTTTGAATGTCTTTTGTAGGTCTGTCCTTCTCAATCATATGGCAAGAGAGCATGCTTTCAACATTGGGCTGCCAGATAACATTGTGAATTGCTATGAGTTTTTGGCTGTATTACAGGAGAAGCTTGACAAGTAAGTAGGTTTTTTGTTTGTTTGTTTGTTTTTTAATTTGACGTAATTCATACTTCTTTTAACCTTGGAAATAAGCTGTGTTAAAATAAATTCAATATTCATGGTTAGTTAAGAGGAAACAAAGAGAGGATGTAAGTTTATTGCAAGTGCTCTTAAAAGACTTTTTGTTGACTTGTTGAAAGCTAATTCATAACAATTCGTACTATGTATTTGCTGGGAAAATGGAGTCAGGCACAGTGCTTCAGTTGTGATGCATTGCACAGTGTCCATTGACATCAATAATAGCACATCCCTTTGTCTTGTTACCGTTAGAGTTAATGTTCTTCTTTCTCTTCATAACAATCTTTTTGATAAATATGTTTTTAATCGCTGAATACAGAGTTCTTATGCCAATCTTTGTTTGCCCCTCTATGAGAGGGGCAAACATGGGATGTTTGGTCTCTCCCTTCTCTGCTGCTTACAGAGTACATCCCACAGCAGAAGGGGAAAGCCAATGTATATGCTGCCTCAGAAACATGTAAACCTGAGATGGCTAAAAACATTAAAAAGGGAATTTGGGAGAAGAACTTGGGTAGTAAAGAGCAAGAAACTCTTCACTTTGAGTTTCCTTTGCAAGTATATGAGTGCCCATTATGGATTTTATAAATGGGACAATATGAAGTATGCTGCAAGTATAAATTGGGCTCTAGCAGAAAATGTAATTCCTTAAGAGTGAAACTGTAGCTTTAAAGCTTTAACAAGTTTATTAGATTTGAAAACAATCTGTAATCAAAGACTGTAGGAGAAATTTGCCTAAACCTTAGGCTTAGTTATGAAAAGCCACAGAATACTGGGATTTGTGAAAATTGGGATATGGAATATAGAGTAAAAATCCTTCCACATAAATTTAGGATCCATTGGTTTGTACATCTGAAAAAAAAAAGAAAAAAAAAGAAGAAAGGCGATTGAAGCTTGGGAAAGCCAACAGCACTCTCTAATTTAGTCTTTGGCCTGACAAAGAATGTGCAGTCACGACAGATACAAGTTAACTTATTCCAGAAATGAAGATGCATTAAGAATGCCTTTGATGTTATCATAGGTGTTGCCTAATGCACTGAGGTACCTTGCTTACTGATAAATTGCAGCTTTACTATTTATTTAGTAGGACCTGAGGGTTTCATTTAGATGGAGGTTTCTCAAAGCCCATCCTCTCTGTCATTAGTATGCACACTGAAATTGCTTCCAAAGCAGTGAAAGGCCACTCCTCCTACTGCTAAAAAAAGACTTAATAGCTATGCTAGTAGAATAGTACCTGAAAATATTATTAAGAGGAGAAAAATCTTGTTTCAGGCAAATAGCATGGCTACGTTGTGTATGCTGAAGAAAAACATTAGGTACTCTTCCTGGGAATGCCTTTCACAAGTAGAGCAAACACTTTGCTGTTAGCAGGTGGAGCAAAGCAGATTTTAAAATTCGTAGATGTATTCTACCATTGGACCTATGATTCACCAACAAGCCAATAGCTAGATTTTGAGGCTGCAAGCACAAGGAGAAATCAAAAATTCTTTGACAGTAAGCCTAAATGTTACAATAGTTTTTGGAAGGCAAAAAGATACTGAGAATCCTGAATTGCTGCTCCACACACAAGAACTGAGTGGAATCTGGATGCACCTTTGCTGAAGGAGTATGAGGGTTTTCAGGGTGTAAGTACAACCTTCTGGGCACAATATTCATGGTTTCTGTTGGGGAAAATGCTTGAGTAAGAAAATAATTTTCTTCAACATCTGTATCTTAAAACCTGGGGAAATCACAGAAAGGTCTCAGCCAGACACTGTTGAAATTCCTTCTGACTATATAATCAAGCATGCTTTCATATGTGAGTAAAAAGGTGATTATTTTAATTCAGAGCCACCACTTTTTTTATTATCTATGTTTTTCGTGTCTTAAAGTGCTGTCATTTTTCCCTCCCATCAAATTGTTTTTCCTACTAGCCAGCATCTCCAATACTAGGATATAATGCCACAGTTACAAAGTTTTTATTTCATGAGAAATTATTTTCTAGGGGTTTTTCCTATTCGCCTGCAGAGATAATTTTTCAAACGGCCCAAGAAACTGTCTCCATCTTGGTAGGATATGTAAGCCATCACTTACAAGAAAAATGTTGTAGCACTTCAGCTAACTAGAGGCTCAAGATCTACATTCATTATACAAGGATGTTCGTGTAAGTTCAGGGCTCTGCTTCAGGGAGCATCATCCACTTAGGCTGAAATGCAGATTACTGTCCTCATAGTCCACTGTCTGAGTCAAGAGACTTGTCCTAATGCTTTATAGGCTCAACTTTCAATTGTCGGTTGATACTACAGCAGAGAGAACAATTATATTACAGTACAAATAACAGAATTGAAGACAGTGCCTATACTTCCATTTTGTTTTGTTCGCTCTGGAAGACATATTTGGTAACATTCTCATTTGTTAATGAATGTTTTCACCTTCTCAAGTTATGTGTGTATATATATATAATAATTCATGTCTATATATGTGAATATATGTATATGCATGTATGTATGAAGAATTATATACACACATGTGTATGTGTATGTGTGTATATGAATTTATTTACTAAATTTGTTTTCAAATTTTTTATTTCAAAACCCATTGATCACTCTGGAAAACTTCCATTTAGTGTGTCTGTTGAGTTAGAAGTATAAAACTTCCTATTTAGCTAATTTAAATTGTTTTTAAAAATACATAGCACATTCAGAGTTCAGGTGTTTTTCCCTCTAAATTACAAAGAAACAGTTACTGATGGATTGGTTGCCAGTGTAAGTGCATGCTGAGTTAAGAGTTCACACGTTGTCAAATCAGTGACCCTCTCGTGCCCTGGTAGGAAAATTTGGGGTAATTAGACTTTTTTCCACTTTGCATGTGGGGCAAACAGTAAACTTTTTTATTGCCTATATTTTCATTTTATGTCATTTTTGTCATCTCTGTGTTTGATTGACTCTACTGAGATCTAAGATTATCTTAGACCAAATGAACGATTTTTCTGAAATAAACTTTCTTTTCCATTTAGCTTTCTGTCACATGCTTAGGATTAATCTTACTGTATATATCTCCAGCTTATTTAAAGATATAATCTTGTATTATTTTCATTGTAACATACTGACCTATTAACCTTTTAATCTTAGTTTGCAGTGTTTATACTGTGAAAAAGTCTTCAGAGACAAAAACACACTTAAAGATCACATGAGAAAGAAGCAGCATCGCAGAATCAATGCCAAGAACAAAGAATATGACAAATTTTATATCATTAATTACTTGGTAAGTGGTTCCATGAATAATTAGTAAATTGACTAAAGAGATACAGACAATATCTTGTTAAAAGTGAGTAATTCCAAACCAGCAATTAGTACAAAGGTCAAAAATCAAGTGAAGGACTCTTAAGAAATATGTTCATTTATGGTATGATATTCTGGATAATTGTTAAACTAAGGAATAGTAAACATCTTTTGTTGAGAACTGATTTTGAGAGATCTGAGAATGCAGCTTGAAGAGATGCTAATCATCATGTCATTAGTGATCACTCTCTGCTTTAATAACCAGAAGGGAAAATGAAGTAGTGTAATGAAGTAAATGGAGGTCTAACTTTAATGCTATTGGCTTTGAGCTTGTTTTCTACAAACCTTAAGCTGGAAGGGCTCTTCAGAGTATAAATTAAATGCAGAGGAGGAAAATGAAAGATGCATAGATGACAGAAAAAGTAAGTGTTCGTTTCTAGCCTCCAGGTAGGTGTGTGTTGCCATGTATTAATATTATTTTCTCTCAGACCTTTGAGCATGTGTATGCATGTGTGTGCAACAGAATTTCACTTCACTTGCTGTCTTCAACTTGTGAATATAGGAGCTGCTTCAAAAGCTGCTACATTCTGTCCCAGAAATATTTCACCTGAACCAGTCTTTGCGCTGGTGTTAATACATATGTTAATATCCAGGTTATAAATAGGCATCCTTCACTGGTTTACCTGCTTCTTCCCTTTCATTTCTCTGAGTTTTACTCTAATACCAAGAACAAGAAGTTGTATCATTGATGCTCTGCCAAGTCCCTTCTACCCAAGATGGAGTCAATTCCCTCTATGATCTTGTATACTTTCCTCCCAAAAATGAGTGATCTGAGGCCTATATTTTCTTTTCTAGGTATTCAAATATTACTGTTTCAGAGACTGACCTATACATGCTGCATAGTGGGGAAAAAGTTACGAAGTTTTGCAGGGTAGTTGTTGTCAGCTCCTCAATAGAATTGAGCGTTCACTTCTTCCTTGCAAGTTAACAGACTTGAATTTAACATTGTAATTGTTTTAAGTGATTTTAATAGTTTCGTTCTTCTCTGCTAGTCCGGCAGGTAATCTTATGCTTTCAGAACTTCGCATCCTTTTTAAATTACCTTCTCTGTCTAATTTGCATTCATTATTCAGGTTTGAATCTGTCCCAGCTTTGATCAGGAAGTTGAGCTAGCTGACTGCCCAGGAGCACAGAGAACCATGTGATACTCCTGCAGAAATTTTAGAGACGTGCAGGAGGGTCATAAGATCAGTGCAGACGCGCATAACATCAGTGCACAGTGGTTGTGTCATGTTAATAAGCAGAATATGCCAAACTAAATATAACAGCAAGACTAATATTTGTATACCTAACCCTTTTCCCACTCTCTCCAGTTGCTCCAAAACTAGTGGCCTTATCCATGCTGCTGCTGATTATGATCTGTGGCCTGTACGCTTCCTGAACCATGTCCAGGCATTGTCTAGGTAGTACTGCGGGCATGGCTGCAGAAGATGCCAACTGTTAAACAGTTTGGGCAATCACAGGACAGCGCTCAAGCCAGGGCCTTGGTCCTCTTTAGTTATTGGTGACACTCTGGGCAGGACTTCGCAGAGTGACTTCTTATTCCAGCCTGAACCAGTTCAGGTATTGATCACTTAGCAGCATCACTTAGAGATGTATTTTTCAGGTCCTTGCTGTTACAGACAGAACATGGTAGATATCATTCAAATAAGATATGTCAAACCACAAAAATGTTTAAAATTGTACAGGGGCATCTGCACGTGCAGGGTTTGTACCACTGTGCTGTCAGTGCTTCTGGGATGTACGTCGAATGATCACAATTCTTTGTCTGGCTCTATATGTGCTGCTACAGCCATGTTTTCTTTCCACAAATTTTCAGTTGCCTCTCACTATGTTCTGCCCAGTGGACTGTTTCTGCTCTGTCTTTCTGATCTTTCAAACTGTAGCCGTATCAAAACTTCTGACATTTCTTCATTTAAAGAAAGGATTTTTTTTTTGGAAAAAAGGATTAAAAGCAGACTAAAACCTCTGTCTTAAACACTTATACAATAGTTTGCTATAAAATGTGTATTTACACACTGAAGTTGCACAAGATTACATTTTTCATTAATGTGAAACTTTTAGGAAAGTTCCTATGTAGTAGAAAGTGTTTGCTTTCAAAATAGTCTTTGGTAAATCCTTTTGCATAAAGGAGAAAAAGATAAAAGGGAAAAACTTTGATGTAGTCTATAGCAGATTATATTAATGTGATAGACTCGGCTTAAAAAAAAAATAATCCTATATTGAGTGAATTCTAGATGTAATGCAAGGTCTGCTTTCAGTAATGACTTGATGTAGAGATTCTGCTTCCTCTCCCCCACAATTCCCCTCACAATTTACTAGAGGATATTTTTTTAATGTGTACTATCAAGCTTTACTGACTTATCAATGAGGCTGAAAGTTGTGCTTTGCATAGCTCTAAATGTCCAGGGGAATTATACGATTTCACAGACACAGACATGGATTAAATATCTTATCTGAAATGATAGATGTACTGTTTCAAAATTTACTACTGAATTCATCTTGACCTAAAGACGTAGGTGTACAATTTATCTATTTTTTGTATGTTTTCACAGAAAAGGTTGAATTTTGAGAATGTAATAGAGATATTTCTGTGCCAGTTTGATCAAGTTTGTTTTCATAATAAAGAAACTATAAGACTAAGTAGGTCTTTAATGATAAACATCAATATTATTACAGTCTTATCCACCTTACTTTTAGGATGTGCACTCTAAAGCTTTTCTATCAGCAACTGGATCTTAAGCTATTTAATTGGATAGTGCTTTAATACAACCATCCTACAGACATGATTGTCCTTTTTTTTACAAATTTCCATTATATATTATCTCCACCAAGCATTGAGTAAAATAGTCTTATTAAGCTGGAACTGGCAGTTTCCTTTATTTTGTGGCTTTTGTACTGAAAGGCTTTAAGGGCTTTTTGTTCAGATGGCCTGAGAACGTCTGCTGAATTGCCTCATGATCTTCTGGCCAGTTCTTACTTGTATTTTTAAGCTGATGGCAAAGCTCCCACTGATTTCATTTAAAGCAGTAGGCTTGCCTGCCACCTTCCTTTCCTTCCATTCTGCTTTTGGCTTCACTTGAGATTTTAGTGCAGTTATAAGAATCTGTTTTCATAACATGAGTTATGTTTTATCTCTTTGTGTTGGTAATTCCCTCTCCTAAATTTCCTATTTGCCATAGCAATGAGTAATATAAGTGCAGATTCCTTCTGGTATTCTGTGACTTTCTGTGACTTCTGTCATGACCTACAAGCTGCTTTGATTTGTCTACCCCCATATTATTGACATGTTCTGTTGCTCACGGGTTAGTGTTAAGATAAGAGCATTACACATGATCTTTAGTAGGAGTGGAAGCTTTTTTTGTCATACGCATGTATAATAGATGTCTTTAATAAGCAAGTATCAAAAGTTTATTATTAGATAGTTACATTGAATTAGAGTGGGAGTTTTGCAATTATGCAAATTACTTGAAAGGCAGTGGGGTCCCTTCCCCAGTGGATAAGTATAGAAGATGATACCAATCCTATTCGGAAAGGCTTGAAGTATAAATTGTAAAAGAACAACTGATAGTAAATGGTGAAGAACTGAGCAACAACGCATCCAAGATATATATGTAGGTTACATTATTTTTCTTTTCTCCAAAAAAGCTTCCAACCTGTTTTTCTTGTTTCTCTGCCTATGTTAGATTGTGGCCCCATGACTCACCTTGCACAAAAAGCCAAGTAAAAATGGAGAGGGAATAACTTTGTAGTCTGTAGTGCCTGCTGGAGGCCATAAAAGAACAGAAGGCAGTATTAAAACTCTCTTATTCCCAGCCCAAGGAGCTGAGGTGGACCCAGACTGACAGGACCTTTTCCTTCTGTGTTCATCTGATTCTTACCAGCAGTATTTTCAGTATAAAATATCCATTGTAGGAAGCACAGATATTTGTTTTTAAATTGACTAATGGTATATATCTATAGTAATGTAACATCCCTGTAATGAATGTGCTTATGACTAAGTTAGATGGTTGGAAATGGTACCTGTTACTTACTAGAAAACTTAATTCATAAAGCTTTTACTTTTCCTCAAAGATAAAAAAAGATGTTTTCTCCTTCTTGCCAAGCCCTAAATCATCATTATTGTCAGTTGGGGCCTGGGGGAAGAATGTTTTGTTGTTGGGGTTACCTTTTATATTTAGCCTGTTTTGACTTACACAGTGTATATTTTGTAAAATAGTAAAGGAAAACCTTTTATCAATTGGTGATAGTTCAGGACTTAATAAAATCTCCCAAGTCAGGGAACGCTTCATATTAAAATTCACCCAATGTCTATTAACTAATGTTGGGGTAAGATCGTCTCTTCTATCTGATGAAGCATCTTGAGCTCTGCAGCAATATTAAACAATTCAGATGATCGCAATAAGGCAGGTGAGAAGAAGGATGAGAGGAAATTTGCAGGGGAAAGCAGCATCTGTTTGGAGTTTCTGAGCTCCACGGGTCTGAAACTACATTTGCATGTAGTTCAGTAACTGCTCCTTTGGGAACACCGCTTGAGATACCAGCTGCTGTTTCTAGTTTCTCCCATCTCAGCACTTCTTCTCAAGTTGAGATATGTTCCCTCAGTGAAGCACACAGACCTTCTCCCTGTAGAACCCTTAAAACTGTGCTCAAATTGAGAAGATAAATTGCCCGTGAGTCAATTAATCTCTGTGCACTTAGACTTCATTTTGGAAGAGGAAATCAAGCCACACACATTTGCATACTCCCCTCACTTTTCTGTAGGAACCTTGTCTCTGTGAGGTACACAGGAAGTATTTTTCTTAAAAAAGTTAGTTTTCCTTGGGTATATAGCACAGCTTGCAGCTTTTTAAATTATGCGTTTTCTACTGGTTGAACTATTAATAATATCAAGTCTAGTTTTTTCTCTGGTTTTGTTAAGAATTTCTTGGTAATCTCTAGAGATGATTGCTGGGAGCTCTTGCATCTTGGATGAAAGAGCAAGGGAAGTTGAATACTTAACAAAGACGCCCTTGGTCCCACATGCCCATCAAGCTACAGAACTGAAAAAGTGTTTTTTAAAAAAGAAAATTATAAAAACTGAAAGAGCTTTAAGAATGTTTCGAAGAGCTGTTTCCCACTGAATTGGTCTGCTTCGGTCTCTTGGCCCTTTCATCACAGCATGCCTGGTTATCCATTCACCATGCAATTTTCCAGTGATACAAGACCTGATTAGCTTTTTCCTTTTTTTTCTCCTCTGAATATAAATAGATGAGGGAAACAGAGACCTCTTACAAGGTCCTTCTCTGCCTTCTTCGCAGAAACACCAGAAAGAAACAGCAACAAAGCTTGTGCGTGGTTTTCCCCTTTCACCTTTAATTAAAAGGTGAAGCTTAATATTGGCTGCTGTTTTGAACGAACTCGTTTGTGCACACATACTTCAAGCTGATAAGGGGGAAAATTGTGAGAATTTATCTTCATTTTGCGGTGGTTGTGAGCCACTATCCTCTCATTAAGGTGTTAACATTAACAGCCATAGGAAACCAGTGTGCAGCTGCGAGAACATGTGGTGAGAGGTGTTAATGGCTTCATGTTATCTCACAGTAATGGTGACATTAATGAGTCTCCCCCGTAACTCAGAGAGTTTACTCACTACCATGTAGCACCACTGAATTAATTACTGAATTTTCATTCTGTAATATACGATGACATTATGCTTAGAGCTCTCTAGAGACGTTTGTTTATCATTTACCTGATAGACACTAACAGCTTTGAAAATTCTCATTAAATTGTTAAATGATGGATATCTTTCTTTTTTTTTTCCAAACAACCATAAAGACAATAATAACACTTGTTACTAAGGATATTATTAAATATATTTATCAGAGAGAATATTTGAATGAAATAAATGAAAGAACAATCTTTTTCTTGTCTGCCTTTTTAATGGAGACAAGATCATTAACAATGATCTTTGTGAATCCTTCACAACCATCAAAAGTATGAGTTCAAAAATACTATTTTGGTTACTGGTTAGTTTGCTCTGGTTTATTTTTAAAAGCAGGAAGAATCAGAGGAAAGAAAAACACTAACTAAAGATCACTGTTGGTATTTCAGAAGAGTGCTTCAGCTTTTTATTGCCTGTTATTTATATCGCAGTCATGCTGAGAGTGCTTGCCATTGTGCTGAACGCTGCACAAATGTATTGTGATATACTTTGTGCTGAAGGTCTTTAAGCTATAAATAAACAACACAAAAAGTAAAAGGAAGAGTAGAACACCATGAATAGATGTGCTTAGATTCACGTCTGAGAAAGGGGGTGGAAGAGAAACTGGAGTCTGGCTCAGAGATCTACGCCCTGGCTTCTCCTGCCCGTCTGGAGTACTCTCTAGCTAGGTTTGCACCATGGGTTTTTGATGACATAACCTTGTAGAAGGTTCGAGCGCTGCCTGGTGTAGCTGTGCCAGCCAAAGCCTCAGTTGTGATAGCTGCATTGTTTAAGCAGCTTACACTGCCCGAAGAGCAAGGTAGGCAGATTGGATTGAGCAAGTGTGATGGCAAACTCGAGGCAGTGATAACATACCCAACTCAGGAACATCTTGGTTAGTGTGGCAAAGCTCTGCACCAAATCACCTTCTTTCCAGACATAGGGTAGGAATGCCCAATTAAAAGACAAAACAAATTGTTATTTTAAAAGCTATTACTAAACCAGTGTTGTATGACTACCTTTAACTCCCAGAAATACCAAAACAATGCAAACTAAGACGTTGATTGTGACATCCCAGGGGTTCATTCAGTTGATATATGACGTGCCGTGTGAATCAGGAAATCTTTTTTCTTTTCTTTTTTCTCCACAGGAATTTGGAAAGTCCTGGGAGGAAGTGCAGTCAGAGGATGACCGGGAATTGCTATGTAACCTAGAAGAGTAAGAGTTACTTAAGTGGCTATTATAAAGATTGTCAAGACCATTATTACTGAAAGTAGTTAGAGGGGAAATGCTGTGCATAGTTAGTACATTCATTGAAGCCAATCAAATCAACTCCAAATTGTTCTCCACAATAAGGGCTGTAAATTTCATATTTCAACCACAAGCCTATTTTTCGTTTGCTTTTTGGGCAAAACAGGTTTTTTGACTTGTGTGCTAAAAAACAGTTGAATGGGTTTTGTTCAAATTTAAAAGTCAAGAGTAAACTTCAAAAATGTCAGCATGAGAAAGGAATGGTATGAAAATATCTGATAATGGGATTTCGAAGGAAACCTTTCAACAGTGCTGATTTAGGACAACATCCACCTCTCCTCTGCATTCTTCTGTGGTCCAGGCCCTCAGATCAGAGCAAAGGTGGCTTCCTTGGCCATAAAGAATTGAAGAAGAAGGAATTAATTTGTGGGTAACAGGGCCCCTGACCTTCCTGATTCTCTCTGTGACTTGAGCTTAATTTTGCTTGATTATACCTGGTTGCAGTTATATTTCTGTCTCTCAGCAGTACTGGAGTTCTAAATAGATGTGTTGGATAAGTATTTTCTGTGTGCATGTCTAAACATAGCATAAATTAGTGTCTCTTTCAGGAATAATAATATTTGATAAGTAAATAGCACTTAGAGTGAACTCTGCCTGATGATTATGTCTTTGGCTGGTGTATTGAAAGATTAGAAAAGTATAAGAATTTTAAAAGACCTTATAAAAATAAACACTGAACGCAGTATTTGATGAGTTGCCAAACTGGATAGAAATTCAAGTTAAGATCCTGTTTGTTAGTGCAGGCAAATTCAAATAGGACTTACTGCCTGTCTGCACAGTAAGTCTTACTGTGCCTGTCTTACTGTGTCTGTCTTACTATCTAATTGTTTAAATACTAAGTTCTTAATTATGTTTGACTTCGTAGTTTTTTCAGACTGTAAACCAGATTCTAATCATGTATCCAGCTATAAATTCACACTCCCTTCCACTCCTTTAAACTAATCAGTTTCTATCGATTTAGATCTAGTGCTGTGAATACAGAATCTAAAGTGCCGTTTTACAAAATGTCTCTTCTATTTTCTATAATTAAATGAATCTTTTTGACTCTTAAACATAAGAGACTGGTCTGACTGGGAGGAGCATCCTGTGTGTGCAGTTTGCCTGTTCTGTGAACAACAAGCAGACACCACAGAAAAATTGTATCTTCACATGCAGGTAAGACTCGTTTTAAATATCAGTTCTTTCATCACTTTGAAATTAAGAAGTAAGATTGTAGCATCTTTGTTAAGATCAAATCAGCTGCTGCATTAGAATGCCCTCTTTAGTGCAGAACTGAAGTACTGCATGCATTTCCAGCATCTGTTCTCTAAAACATGCAGAGGAGTCAAGTTGTACATTGAGAGTATGACTAGCTATTACTTGTCTGTACAAACTGGTACAAACAAAAAAGATGTAACATCTTTAATATTATAGTGCCTTGATGATTTAAGACATTTGATGGTTAGCATCTGTGTTTCAGTTTTAATGAACTATTTAACAGGAGTTTTGCAATTTAAGAGAATATGAAAGTTTCTTATGAAACAAAAGTTCTGAGGGTTTGTTTCGTGTACATGTTTGTGTTTGCATGTCTGTATGCATTTGTCTGTGTCAGTCTTTGAAAAGCTGAAATGTTTTTAACTTGGAATAGTAGAGGCGGTGGAAATAAGATATTTTATTCTTTCCTTCTTTTTTTCCTCCAGAAATCACATGGATTTGACTTTCCTAAAATAAAGTCAGAGCATGGTGAGTAAGAGATATTGTACTTGTCAGCATTTGCCACTAATCTGGAGAAAACCACATCACAAGAATAGTGGAAAACAAGTGTAGCAATTTGATTTTTGTTTGGACATTTAACTTTTCCATTATGGAAACTGTTTCTGTCAGCTTACAAAAGAACACACAAGAACACTTTATGTGTGATATTTTCCATAAAACCATTGGGTTATTTTTCAGAGTAGCTTCTATAAACACTCACTCTATGAGTCCCAGGTCTGGCTGCTGGAGCCCTGTAATAATAATAATTATAATAACAACAACAACTACTGTTGTTGTTGTTGTTGCTGTTGTTGTTAAGATTTGCTTGCAAAGTAGAAGGCTGTGCTCTAAGCTGTGTTTGGCCAATGTTTGCTTGCTCCTGTAGACTGAGAGGAAGCAAGATTTGTACCTTTAAAAAAGGGCTAGTTCCCCTGCAGCTGGGAAGAAGCATTTGTTCAGTTAATTTGTGAAATTACAGCAATCAGGCAGTGCTGGTCTTCAATAAACCCTTATCAATCTTTATGCTTAATCCAAGAAAGCATTTGTAAATTAATTCTTTCGTTCCTCAAGTGCTTGTTCACTACTGTCTCTCTCAGGTCTGAACTTTTATCAGCAAGTAAAGCTAGTGAACTTCATCAGAAGAGAAATCCATCATTGTCGTTGTTACAATTGCCAGGAGAAATTTCAGTCTAAAGGAGAACTGATAAGTCATATGGAAGAGACCAAAGACATTACATTCTTGCCCCCGAGGTCTACGTGGGATCAACCACAGTAAGGGCACACGTTTCTCCAGCATTTATACTGTTACTTGATAATGTCTGTAAAACAGTAAGTTGAAACTTCTGGGTTTTACCAGTGCAACAGTGCCCTGAGCTCCCCAGCTCTAATGGCCCAGATGAAATAATAAATGGTCTCAAAAGTACTCAGAATTATAAATCCTTGTACTGTCTAAAGCTAAAATGAACATGTGATACTGCTCCTCTAGTTGCATCCAGGATGCACTATCCCCGTAAATTGTGTCTGTGCTGTCAGGTCAGTATGCTAGAGAAGTTTATTGTTGCAAAATTGTCTTTTGCCTGTATTTACAGTTGTGCAGTGAACAGTGAAAGCATGTGTGGTGCACTTGAAGCAGTTTTCCTCCTGGTGGAACCAAGGTTGAATCTGTGCATCAAAGTGAATGCTCCACTTGTGGACACAAGATTCTTCCACCCATTAGCTCTCTATACAGATACAGATCATGCCTGGGATGGGCATCTGGCATATATTTCCTTGCTAGTAAAGATATAACCTATAGAATATCTCTGGGTATATAGTTTTAGAAACAAACCAAACCCCTTCTTTTGCATGTCTAATAGAGATATATGCATAATATCTACCTAACTTTAAACATCAAAACAGGTTGGTTGTTTACTCTTAGTTTTCTCCATAGCAAATAGAGAATATAACAGAACACTAACTCAGGTTGTAAGCAGGATGAATAGGTCTGGGAGATGATGCCATGGGTGGTAAAGCACCTATGTTGTAATTCAGACGTCTCAGTTCAGCATTTTTTTGTGGGACAAATCCGAATCTGTGGCTTCAGTTGTGACAGCATATGAGTGAAGAAATAGGGGAAAGGTCTGTTGCCAACTCTTCTGTATTACTCTTCTAAGATATACATCCCAGTTGATTTTTTGGGTGTGCAGTTTATTCTCATTCCAGACAACTGTATTTGTTTGGTTTCTTTCCAAACTTTCTCACTTTTCCTTTTTTAAAATCTAATTTCATAAAATATGCTCTGCCTCTTTCAAACAAAATATTTGATTATCTAGTAATTATACCTTGTTGCTTTCAGGTATTATTTTCCTACCTATGAAAATGATACACTCCTATGCGCACTGTCAGACAGTGAAGATCTGATAACTGAGGATCAAAGTGAAGACATCCCTGTTGTAAGTGAAGATATATCCAACCTAAAAGCTCTCAAACAGAGCAGTGTTTTAAACCAGCTCCTCTATGAAGAGAACAAGAGTCAGGAGAAATTTTGACTTTGAATCACAGTTGCTGACCTTTGAGTGTTTCTTCTGCAAGACAAAAAAGGCCACTTACATTTCTTTCACTGATATTGGAATACAGTTTAAGTCATAAATGTTATTGCTGGGGAAATATTACATGAATGGGAATACTAAATAAAATGTAAGTGTAAAATGTTTTGGTTTATCTTCCTTTAAATTCTAGGTTTATTTTAAAATTAAATGCTGGATTTTCTGCTTGACTCTCCAAAAATTTTAGTATTATTTACAAATAGGATTTTTCATCTATTTTTTATTTTTCTGAATACATAAGAATCAAAGTTCTATTTTAAGGCCACCTTGTGAAAGGCACGAACAATTGAGACAATGTGTCTTGATATATGAGCCAATGAGTGAGTCTTCTATGTGTTATTGCATATATGTGTTAGCATATGGAAAAGAGCCTGCATATAATTCTTGGTCTGTTATGTAAAGCAAATTTTGCTATTCTTAAACTTAGACCTTTTTCAAAATGAAAACAGATCTGTATATCTCTATTATTCATCGTCAGTATCTAAGATATATTGTGCCTGTTCTGAAAACTGGCTCAGAAACACTGGTAAAGACCATGGATATCTGACTGCATGGAAAGATGCCAATCCAAAGCCTAAAAAAGCATAGGAACAATTGCAATCTTGGTTGTATCAAAGATCCAAAGAATTTAAAGTAGATTTCTTGTATGGTCATGAACTGAGGTGCAAAAGAAATTACTTAGGGGAACGCAGACACACAAATCCAAATTAAATCCTCAAAATCTCAACTCAACTGTCGATTAAAGTTACACTATTTCCTTTAATATTGAACTACAAAGTTCCCAAAGTAACAGAAGGTCTTCAGAATGTCCAGAAATCACTTTGGTCTTCATAAGGCAAAGCAACTCACAGCATAGGTCCTGCTACCATACTAGGTATTCCTGCCTCTCTTTCTCCTCTGAAATTTTAGGTAGTTCCAGAGTCCAGGTTTTGCATTGCATAATACATATAACCACTTTCAAAACTGGCAGCTCGTTCTTTTTTCTTCTTTAGGTTGGTGTTGGAGCACTTTTTCAAAGTATGGGAGTCTCAGCTCAGTGCCCTTCCCTGCCTGGGAAGATTCAAAGCCATAGCTTTGCTTTTGCACATCCCTCATTGCCTTAAATAGGTTGCTGTCAACAAGAGTTGTTATTTGTCATTATAGGGTGATTGAGAATTATATACCAGTACCTGGGAGCAGGAGCTAAAGTTCAAATCTTTACCTGTGTTCTGCTAAGCTTCCATATCCAGCCTAATTCATCCTGCAGTTCTTTTAATTTGCATTGAACTTGCTTTCTTCTGGCATTACCCGTCACCCTGTAGCACCTCTCTTTACTTCCCCTTTCTTATTTTCTCTTGGGCCCAGGTGCTCTGGAGATAAGTTAGAACAACAGCATGCTGAAAATGTACTGAGGAAGACAGATCAGCCACTTAACTGCACCATGAAACAGAGGCAGAAGCAATATCTGACTCTGCCAAGAGGAAATGGGATAGAAGTAGTTCAGCGGGTGTTGAGAATACAGACAAAAGGTGTAGTCATATGTCTGCATTGGCTTTGATTAAACAGGCAAAAAATGTAGGAGGAGCAACCTCAGTATTTTTTAACTAGAATATCTGACCATCTTAAATAAGCTATAGTTGGTACTTCTTGCATTTGTAAATTTCTTAATTTCATGCAGTAATCATAATGGCTGTTGCTGTTGATTTTTTTTTCCCCTCTGAAGTAATTGTCTTCCTAAGCAGTTATTTTCTTTCTAAATGAGAAATTGATTCCAGTCTTAGGTTTTCAGTCAGATTCTTAGCTGAGGTGAGACGAAGAGCTGATGGGGTTTACATTAAAGATAAGTGTGTTGAGCAATGGAAAAAATCAGCAAGAGAACTATGGCTAAATCAGCAGCACATGAATGTGTTTTATGGCAAGCCCCTCTCAGAAGGGCCCATTAAGGGAAAGATAAAATTTTATTGATATATCATAAAGTCAAATTGCAAAACATTTCCTAATCATGAGGAATGTTGATGCTGAGTCACTCAGATCCCTACAAAATGAAATCAAGACGTTAATATCAGCAATATGGAATGACTGCTGTTCCTGGTTCCAACAGAAATTTGAAATAGCAATTTATCAGTCTAGAATTAAGAGAATATCTTGAGGGAAATTCTATAAATAACATGGATTGATTGTCTTTTTCAAACAAAGAGGAAAAGGTATTTAGGAAAAATCTATCAGCAGTGTGCAGTTGTTCACTGAAAATACAAGGAACATGAGAAGTCAGTTTAGGGTTCATCTTGTTGCTTCAAATATGAACAGCAAGCAACAAAGTAGGTTTAAAGTATCTGTAAGTTGACAGAGAGAGTTGGGGTACAGTTTATAGAGTAAAAATCAAACATTTTGTTTAGCAGAATGATGCTTTTAATTGACGTTTTATTGGAGCATACTGTATTTGTTTGTATAATGGCCACAATTTTCCCTAGGCATTCTTGTCCTTTATCTAAAGCAAAGCCAGCATCAGTGTCTTTTTTAAAACTGAAGTTATCTTTTTGTCCTAAGTAGGGGACACAGTTATGACTGCATACAGTGTATAGGCTCAGCTATTATATGAGCAAATATGTTCTTCTAACAAAAGAGCATTTTTGGAAGCATTACAACAAAAAAACAGTGTTGCCATAAGTCACGGAATGGACAGAGTTAGTGCGTGGTAAATGCTTTTGAGAGAGTCAGATCAGGAGAATGAGTGGGGCTAATTAGAATAAAAACAGCTAAACTAGTTTAAGTCCAATACACATTTCTTACCATAATATTTCCTCTTAGCATAGATCTTGATTCCTTTTATGCACTCACTTCATTTTATCTGAAGTTGTGCCCTTGTTTAGAAGGATCTGGGTAAAAGGAGGAAAAGGTTTGTGTCCTGATGACCAGTAATTCCTGCTGTCCTTTTTACAAATACCTTCATTATGTCTTTGACACTCCTCCACACACCATTTATTCTGACAATTCTGTGCAGACTTAATCTGACTTAACGAGTTAATGGTCGTTGACTTTCATTTAAGATGCTTGCTGTTTTCTGTTTCTGTATTACATTTGTCTGGCATGCTGTGAGAGAGCTGTCAGCGGTTGCTCTCAGCTGGCTAAATGGCAACCGATGGGCAAAACACCAAAGTAAGTCTCTGGAAAGTCTGTCTGCTCTTGTCATCATTCAGTGCCTTCACTGCTTCTGAATTCTGGTTAGATCTCTACTATTGAGTGGGATGTCTGGTACCATATCTCGCTCTTTCTCCCATTTTACAGAGGAGCTGACCTAAATCTGACACGAGAAACTGAAGTGTGAAATACAGTCACTTTCTTCACTCCAAGGTTACCAGTCTCAATGCTCAAATTCAAGTCCAGAGCAGACACTGGACATAGGTCTTGGCAACATCTACCATCCACTGTCATCGAGCAGTAGCAAATTTCACAGCTTTGCTTATGACTTGGTGCTGTATTAAATGATCTTGCATTATTTGCATTTTACTTAGATGTATACAAAGGCAAAGGAGAATCAGAGGTCCCTGGAGAAAAGCTTTTGCAAGGCAAAATGAAAAGTGCTTTGTTTTCCCCAGGAGCTTTTGTTAAGTCATGATGCTTTCTGGGCTTTAGTTACAATAGTGTGAGTGAAGTGTCTATGATCAAATTGTGCCCTCATCTATCTCTGCCAGGTACATTAAACTTGGTTAGATAACAACTGTCACATGGAACAGGTATTTTGTAACCCTGGAATGAATTACTGCTTCCATGTAATAGTCATTAGAATCAGCTGCTGTAGAAATACTACAGGGAACAGTGGCTGCATGAAGAACCTAGTTCATGCAAAATTCATTCCTTGTCTTCATGGGCACTGAATATGCTGTTGTCCCCAGTGTTTGGGGTTTTTTTTCTTCTTAGAAGTTTTCTGCTACTAATTCACACTTAATTTGACTTCTTCCACCACTGAAATTTTTTATTTACTTCTTGAGTTCGATTTTACAGCTTTTCCCAGACTCTGGCTTATGAAGATACAGATATGGTAGCTATTTTAGAAATTACCATGTAGCCCCTTAGTTGAACTCACATTTGGTATGTTACATCCCTGATAAATTCATTCTCTCCATAGGAAGAGCAGGGTAATTTGGGATTTTTACAACCAAAAATACATCAGTCGTCTTTGCATAGATTTAGATAGAAATAAAAGCATTTTCCTGCCACAAATGTTCCTTGGAACGCAGTTCTTTCCATCTGGTTTACCATCCTGAGACTGAGAAGCTGCCTCCGTGTAGATTACATATGAGCCTAATGTCTAATCTTCCATTATAATCAATAAAAGTAGTCTATGGATCCTAGAGTCATTCAGCTCACCCTAAATTAAACACCTAAAACTTTATTCAGGTCCTTTCCCGTAGACATCTAGTGTCATCTGAGATGCTTGAAAATGCTGTGGTCTCTAGCTGCTGCTCTGAAGGATCTTGATCTTTCAGAGATCTTGTGTCAGTTCTGTCAACAGTGTATGAGCATTTTCGACACCATGGAACATCTCGGATGGCATTGAGGGATATCTAAGTCAAAGCAGCTACATCCAGCACTTTCGGCTGGTAGCTAAATATCTCTTTTAGGCTGCAATAACTATAATGGAAACTTAGGCACCTCGGTCACATCTGGTCCCCTACATCTGGGCTCCTAAATTTTGTTATGCTAATTTAAAGCTGAATTCTACCCTACTATTATGGAATTCGTTTAATCTAAAGGTAGATATCTACATGGATCAAGTTATGTGCCTTCTTATGTGCCTTATTTTCTATTTCTATGCTCTTTGGAAATATCAGAACAATATAGGAATAAATAATGCAGGAATTACTGATTGCCCATTAGAGAGTCTTTGTAAACTGCTGCCACAGCTTTGCAGAGCTGAGCAATGCTTTAACCTTTAGCTGGTTTTAGCTTTAAACTTCCAGTTGTATTGTGGTTGGTTTGTTACTTTCTGATGCATATCTGTCTTCACACCATTTACAGAAATATCGCTGTGAATCTTCACAAATATTTGACCTATTGTAATAAACTGCCTGATATTTTTGTTTGAATCTAGTTGAAATAAAGAGCAAATAAGCAAGGATGGAGCTTAGCATTTGTGAAGAAGGATCATGCACATGTGACAGTGCTGGCCCTCCTGTATTTTTACAGACAGTGACTTACCACACATCCTTAGACAAATATTGTTACTTGCCTGTGCCTTAGTTTCCTAAACAGCAAGATTGTGATTATATGATAATAACTACCAGGGAAAAAAAGGGCACGTGTAAGATAGGATTCCAATGTATGCATTTTTATATATGTTGGATTTTCACATTTAAAATATTTAATGTAAAATGACTAGATCACAGTCAAAATAGTTACTCATTCAAGAAGGATAAACTTAATTTTGTGAGTACCTTCCTATAAGGAAACAAAAGTTAAACATTTTGAAAATGGCATCTTTTAAAAGGAAGGGTTAACTTCTGAATTAGATTTTCAGAATATGTATGATTTGCCATCACTTGAGGATTTTAAGTAGAGAATTTATATTATGTAATAGATTTTCTGCTTTCGGTCACATTACAGATCTTCTAAGTGTTCAGTTGCACACTAAGGAAGACTGATTTTCTGTAAGAAAAAAGTCACTGCATAACGTAGAGTAGCCATGGTCCACACTGGTTAGAGAAGACGTCCATGCTGGTCTCCTCTAGCCTTAAAAGCTATAAAGCCATGAGTTTGCTGAGATGAAAAAAAAAAAGCAAAACATTGTGTATCCTTTAATTCATTTAATTGTTCCTTTGCTTTGTAAGCAGTGTTCATTTAAGATCCTAGCTCTCTAAGAACTTTTCCAGTGCAAGTTTAATAATTTCCTCATAAAGTATATACACGTGAGGTAGATAAGATTTCTCAGGATTCCCTTAAGCTTGTGCTATTGCATGTACCTTGCTGTCATCATAGGAACATTTCTGAGTAAGACAGAACTTTTTTCCTCTATTAGAGCTGATACTTGGATGAGATTCTCTTCTCAAAAGTTACTGCAATGGTACTGCTGTTCATATTCCCATCTTAACCAGAGGCCTGTGTTTTCTAACTTGCACTGAGCCTCTCTGACAAACAGTTTCAGGTAAGCAATCTGTGAAAGGACTGATCACTTAGTAATGCTGATACTGTTTCTGGAGACATAAAGTATGGGAAAAAAAACACCACCCCACCCTCCTGATCCTTAATTTCTTTGTCTTTTTTGCACAGAAATCAAAAGGGATCCATTAAAGAATCTTTAATAAAAGAAGCCCTGATACCCTCGGTATGACACTTCACCCTCTCGGTGTGGTAGAGAGGCAGGTGAAAGCAGCACCTCCAGCTCCCCGCAGGATGCTGAGGTCTGTGCTGCAATGGAACAGCACGGACCATTTCCCCATTGATGCTGGACTGTCCCCAGTGACCTTTAAGGAGATGGAGTTCCTGCTGCTTCCTACTAGACTCTGGTGCCGCTGGGAAAACTGTCTAATTGCCCCTAATGATTGGTTTGAAACCAGTTAGAGGGAATTCCAATCAACATCTGAAATGAATGTCAGCATCCTGTCAAAGAAGGATTTTCTGTTATTTAGTTTTGTTTCCATCTGAAAAAAGAATTCCTTAAGGTGTTTGACAGTGTTTATCCACTAAATTTCTTTGGGGCTTTGTGCTGATTAAAAATAGTACAGTCAAAGACTCTGGCCTCTCTTGTTCCCACTATTTTATTCCTCATCTCTGCTTCTGCCACCATTCCTCGGTCAGGTCTACCTTGCAGTCTCACAGCAGTCCTCAGGGTAAGCTCGGACTCTTGGTTCTTCTCTTGTGGGATGACAAAGTCCAATAACAGCAACTGAAAGCTGACCTGAAATGAAATATAGGGCTTTGGGACTGAAAAACAGGAATCTATAAAAATGATGCCCCAAGTACTATCTTAAAAATAAGACTAAAATGAAAGAGAAAACTGTATAATAAGCTGCGGTGAAATCACAGGAGGGATGGGGGACTCCCGTGGAACATCAAGTGGAAAGTTGCACTGACTTCCAGAGTGACAGCAATTGCTGGAAGGAAAAGAATTAAGATGACAAGACTACTACTAAACATTTTCTATTAGAATAAAAATATTAAGCTCAAAATATCAGGACAGCATTGGCCAAAAATAGAGCTGAGAAAACCAAAGCATCAAACTGTCATCTAAGTGGAGGCCTCAGTTGCAGGTGAAGCCACATAACCAAGTGAGATATTGTTAGATTATCCGGAAGCTAGACTAAGTATTATTGCAAATAGTTCAGGGTTTAATACAGCTTAGGACACGTGCAGGATGTTTCCCGTGCAGACTTAGGGCTTTGCAGAGGCAGAGGAAGGTAGTAAGATCTGTAACATGTTGGTGGGCTCTGGTCACGAAGTAAAAGGCGAGAACACATTTTCTGTATGGATGTGGGATGATGTAAAAATCAGTAGTTGTGGGATCTTGCAAAAGGGCTTTTATAAATCAATAATGATAAATTACATACTAATCTATTGCACATAACAATATTTACGCATAATGTAAACAGATGACTGATCGTGTCTGTTGTACAGGCTGTGAATCCAATGTTCTAGTGACTACAATAGTGAAGAAAATCTGGATTTTTTTGTAATTTCAAGGAACTAATTAGTATTTTGTCCTTTTAATTACAGAGTTTTTATGCCTGCCTGCGAGAAGGCTCTATCTGTCCAAAAGATTTGATCTTTTTCTCCAAGTGTTTACAGTGGTCACTGCTTGCTCTTCTGTTTTCTAACATGTTTGACTCTTTGCCCTCTGAATTTAAACAGCAATTGAAAGAGTCTTAGCTTAGACACATGGTTATAAGGCAGCCATCTGTTTAAAAAGTGGCACAATAAATCTCATTTTCAGTCATTGACTTAAAATAACCATTAGCTTTAGCTCCTTTCATTCTATTAACTTGTTTTATTAATGATTTTTAATTTAATTTATTTTTTGTCTCACATTACATGGAAAATAGGAGGCTTAGAGTCGGTAAGATGAAATAAAAAAAAAAAGGCAGAAACCATGTAATGGTACGACTTAAGATGCAGGATTTCCAAAAATATCTAAGGCATGCAAATAAATGCATTTTTTCCCCAGAATAATCAGAAATCTTGCAAAAATATGAAATAAACTAATTTTTAAAAATTTTTCATGACTCGGAGACATTGACAATACTTGGAGCACAGAAAGTATTACAAGGCATGTTTACAAAGTGTAACTTGTTTACACTTAAATGCCAAGGAATAGAACAGCAGAGGTAAAACTACACTGCCCTAATGAGTCCTTCCTAGAGATTTTCCCTCCCCTCCCACCTTCCGATGAGTCCTGATGTCTCAAACCTCCTGTAAGTTTTCTAGGACCCTTGGTTCTCCCTGATTTCAACAGGAATTGCCAGGAGTGGGCAGCTTACAGATTCAGTCAGCAAATGTATTCACTCCTGTTGCTGACTGCTGCCACCAGTAACTGCAGCAAGTCACACTGTAATACATTTTTCTCGTGAGCAGCACTTGTTTTTATGACAAAGAGCCACATTAGTGCTTGCAAAGATAGTGAGGAAGGGAAAGACACCTCTTTATTTTCTCTCCTCCCTTCTCCAGCAGCTCTGTGACACCACTTAGAATCATAGGATGGTTTGGGTTGGAAGGAACTTTAAAGATCATCTAGTTCCACGCCCCCTGCCATGAGCAGGGACACCTCCCACTAGACCAGGTTGCTCAAAGTCCCATCCAGCCTGGCCTTGAACACTTCCAGGGTTGGGGCATCCACAGCTTCCCTGGGCAACCTGTTCCAGTGCCTCACCACCCTCACAGGAACGAATTTCTTCCTGATATCTAATCTATACCTACCCTCTTTCATTTTAAAGCTATTACCTCTCATCCTATCTCTAAACCCCCTGATAAAGAGTCCCACCCCATCTCTCCTGTGGGCCCCCTTCAGGTACTGGAAAGCCATCATAAGGTCTCCCTGGAGCCTTCTCTTCTCCAGGCTGAACAAACCCAACTCTCTCAGCCTGTCTTCATAGGAGAGATGCTCCAGCTCTCTGATCATCTTTGTGGTTCCACTCTCTGGACCCACACTTCTCCCATCCACCAGCTGTTCTGCAGCCAGCTGCCCTTTATCTCATGGCAACTTGCCCTAGGTGAAATGCCCTTTTCCCTGTGGTGGTGGTGGCAGATTATGGCTTCCCTGTCACATTAAGAGAGCCAGAAAACTGAGAAACCCTCCTGATTCGTTCATCCAAGAGTATATTGTTTATATTCACCCTTCCTGTGCTTGTTTTGGAACCATGTTCTTGTACTGGCCTTTCTCTCCTGTGGCAAAACATCCACAAGACTCAAAGATGTTTAAGATGAGGCTGACTGCGCAGGAGATACTTGCAAGTGTTTTAGGTGGTGGAAGAGATCAGACCAGATCTCTACTCCCTGCATGGCTGTACTAGCCCAGGCTGTTACAAGGTAATTCTGCCCACAGTGTGAAAGAAAGCAGTGAACACCTTTCAGTAATTTAAAACCAGATAAAAACCACCTCCAGGGAAGACTGAAGGCCTGGTATCTTACCTAGAAGAAATTTCTGCAGCCTTCATTCAGGCAATTCCATGTTAGCAAAGGGCTTTTGGATGCAAACTTCCTCATCCTTTTCTGCTGGCTCCCTGATTCTTATGCTGATGATCTGGGCCTTGTTTGAGGACGCATGTTCCTCTGGACTAGAAAGGGAGCACGAGTACTGAGTCAGGGCTCTGTATTCCATGGCAAGGGCAGGTACACATGAGTTGCTACACAGTGTTTCAGATACTTGTAAAGGCACCAGCAGTTTCTACACGTGCGTAGAGCTGGGTCCTGAGCAGAAGAAGGGTACATCAGCGTGGAGAAGCTGAGGCCCCAAGCAGTCACCAGAGCTGATGTGCTTTAGCACTAGCTTGGTTACGGCACTCAAGTATATAATAGTGTAATAAGCCACAATCTGGGGCTTGAGGCAGCTCCCTCGTGTCAATGCTGTTTAACTTCCTCAAGTCTTGCAGGTAATTGCTACAGAAGTAAAAAGCACACGGGCTGTAACAA